TATATGCAGAATGTGAAAAAGAACAAATGTCAAGAACAAATGACATTCTGGATTGGTAAAATGTTAATTTTTGACAAGGCAGAATTATACTTTCTTTGAGAATCTCTGTTGTGGAGACTTTAAATATGATTTTACTAGCAGATCATTTTTCTTTTTTCTAATTCCTACTAAAATGTGCTCAAACTTAAGTCTATAAGGTGGATAACAATGAGATTTGATTATGTGTTACAACGGCCTGCCTTAATACCACCCCTGAAAAAATACGATGAAATCGCTCGCGCTCAACGTCATCGCCGGCGCGGCCCTGTGGAGAGATAGAGCTCGAGACCCTCCTTCCCTCCCGCCCCACCTGACAACAACCCCGACCCCGCAGGCTCGAGCGCAGCTACCCCACCCCCCTCCAACCCCTCTGGGAGAGGGGACGGCGCGAGAGACGCACATTCACGGAGAAAAGACCGTTTCTGGATCCCGGCTCTGTTTCCGCTCTCCATCCGGGGCCTAATGCTGTAGCGGACCGCGCGCGAGGACAGAGCGCGACCGAGAGCCGACGCAGCGACCGAGAGCCGGAGAGGGACAGGGCGGACCGGGGGACACGACGGGACTGCTCGCTCGCCTGGGAACGACATGGGCTGCACACTGAGCGCCGAGGAGCGCGCGGCTCTGGACCGGAGCAAAGCCATCGAGAAGAACCTGAAGGAGGACGGGCTGGTGGCCGCCAAGGACGTCAAGCTGCTCCTGCTCGGTAAGAGAGGCGGGCGGCGGCCGGGCGGGCGGAGGTGCTCTCCGTGGTTCTGATTTGTCCGCCGGCTCTCACTCTGCTCTCCGTTACAGGCGGCGGAGAGTCCGGGAAAAGCACCATCGTGAAGCAGATGAAGTAAGCGCCACTTTATTCGTGCATGTGACATTTTGCGGGTCGTGGTTTTTTTTTTTTTGCCCCTGTTCGAACTCAGCCGGAGTGAAAGGCCCGAGATTGCGCCTCCGCAGGCCGGTCTGAGCCGCCATGTTCCGGGAGTCCCAAGCCCCGGAGGAGCCGGGCCGCGGAGGCCGCAGCGGAGCTGTCCACCGCCGGGGTGCTGAAATGTACGGAGTGTTTGAGTGGAGCACACCGACTGTGAGAGTGAGAAGAGTGAGCTCACTGCTCCATTAGTGAATACTTTTAATCTTAATGGCTTTAAGTGCCTGATATCGCCGGGAGTGCTTTTCCTATAAAGCGGATTTACGCAGAAAAATGCTCCTAAAACCGCATCTAACCTTCCTGTGTAAGCTAAATGACTCTTTGGTGTTTTAAACCACTGCTGTTGTTTCCCATAAACCTCTTAGGTTTCTGGATGTTTCAGCACGAAAAGGACTACAGATTTATTGTGTGTGTGTGTGTGTGTGTGTGTGTAACACCCCAGCGTCTCCTCCCTGTTTTCTCCTATTTTCCACCTCCTCACCCTCCCAGTGCTCCCTGGTGGCTCCTAACTCACTGCTCTGCTCCTGGACCCATGGTGCGGGCCCAGTGTTTGCAGATGGTCTCTGGGCCTGCCTTCAGACCTGGCAGCAGTTAGATGGTGTTTCTGCTTCGAGTCATGAAGCCTCCTTCATGACAAGATGCAACATGGACGGAGACAAACGCACAAGATTAACTTAAAAATCTACAAACATAATCTGAAAATGTTGCCTGAGCTGAAGTGATGCAGGTAGATGTTATGTTAAAAATGTCAGTTTTCATACAGTGCGACTTGAAAACTGAACTTTTATTATTTTATCTGTTCAATTTATGATAATTTTGGCCCTTTAAAACAGAAAAAAACAGCTTGAGCAGGCATTTAATCTAGAAAAATTCATTATGAGCAACTTAAATACTTAGTTTCATTAAAAATCCCAACAATAGAAGTAGAAAAAAATCACTTCCCAGCATAATCTGCTTATCGGTTTATATCAAATGTATGGATTTTTAGTTTTTAATTGATCAGAAACAAAAACGGATGATGGTTCTTTTCTTTTTTTTTTAAAAAAAACCCCGTCTTGTTTCATGAAGCTCATTTTACTTATGAAGGTTTTTTTTTTTTTTTTGCTCCGTCAAACTGTTAATTGTGATGATGGTGCTGCAGATTCAGGCCAGGTGGCTGATCATAATGTGCACTGATGAGATGAAAACAATCATCCCTTATCTGTTTTCTCTGCCGTGCGTCGGTCACATCCTGCTCCGGGAGCCGGTTTCAGGAGGATTTCTTCTAGATGCAGTCAGGGTGAGGATGCTCTGATGGACGGGTTCCTGCTGTAAGGAGTTTAGTTGTGTCCAGTCTGGTGGAGCAGCGATTGATTAGTGGTCTGATTGATTTCGGTTCTTCGCTCATAAATGATTTAAATGTCACGTTACTGCCCAGATCGAGATCCAAGCACACGCTCCAAAAAAAATAAAAAAATAATCAATGCTGTGGAGAGGATGCAATAAAATAATCACTGCACGCATCCATCAAAGAGCGGAGCTTTTATTGTAACGAGATGATTGTGAAACACAGGAACATATGGACGCGGCAGACTTTTTTCTGTTCGGTCCCAGGTTGTGCCCCTTCGCTAATATCTCCGTACGCACGCAGGATTATCCATGAAGATGGCTTTTCTGGGGATGATGTGAAGCAGTATAAGCCTGTGGTCTACAGCAACACCATCCAGAGCTTGGCGGCCATCCTTCGAGCCATGGACTCACTCGGTATCGAGTTTGGAGACAAGGATCGAAAAGTGAGTCCCCTCCAGCTGAAAACTTGGTTTCAACTCTGAGCCCGCTCTTGGAAGTGTTTGTTTCGTGGCTGGTTTGTAAACTCAACTCTCTGAGTTAAAGAAACGTTAAAACGTGTTTGTTTCCATCCAGGCTGACGCCAAGCTGGTTTGCGACGTCGTCAGTCGTATGGAGGACACGGAGCCGTACTCTGCGGAGCTTCTCGCTGCCATGAAGCGTTTGTGGGCCGATGCTGGGACTCAGGAGTGCTTCAACCGCGCTCGGGAATATCAGCTCAACGACTCCGCTCAATAGTGAGCACAAGAAGTCACAGTGAAGTGTGTTCAAAGCAGCTTCAGTCCGCTGATCCAGAGTCTTTTTGATTCTCAACAGCTACCTGGACAGTCTAGACCGGATCGGAGCGGCAGACTACCAGCCCACAGAGCAGGACATCCTGAGGACTCGAGTGAAGACCACAGGCATCGTCGAAACCCACTTTACCTTCAAAAACCTCCATTTCAGGTGCGCAGACCGCCACGGCCCGTCAGGACGAGCATCGTAGGCCAAGTCCAGCGGCTGCATTCTGAGATCTAACTGGTCTTCTCTTCCAGGCTGTTCGACGTTGGAGGTCAAAGGTCAGAGAGGAAAAAGTGGATCCACTGCTTTGAGGATGTGACGGCCATCATCTTCTGCGTTGCTCTGAGTGGTTACGACCAGGTGCTCCATGAAGACGAAACCACCGTAAGTGTTGGGGACTCCGGATGAGTCGCTTTTTTATTGACGGCGAATCGACGGCAAAACTTTGTTTCGTTGAAATCCTCCAAAAGTGACGATAATACAGTCTGCACCACAGTAGTCCCTCGCTACTTCGTGGTTCGTTTATCGCGGACTCGCTCTATCGCGGTTTTTCAAAATAAGAGTGGACATGACACACAATTGGCTGAGTGATGGATGAGCCACAGGATGGGAATGGCAATTTTATTTAAAATAATTTATTTGAAATTATTATAATAATTATTATTATTATTATAGTGCAGCCCACCATGCAGGATAAGCTTCCTGCTGCAGCTGATCAACTGTTCACCGTGCAGAGTGGAGAAGTGGGCGTGGCCAAGAGCGCTTGCAGGTGGCAAAGAGCAGAGGAGACAAGGAGCTGAAATCATGACATTCTGTGCTCTTTTAGAGCTTTTAGAGTTGAGAAACATTGTTTAGAATATAGCAAGAGTGTGGGAAGGGTTTAAAACACCTATATATATATATATGAATAATAAAATAAACTAGTACTTACTTCTTGTACTACTATTCCTACTTTGCGGCTTTTCACTTATTGCAGGTCTTCAGGGTACGGATCCCGCGCAATAAATGAGGGACTACTGTACACTTTTTAACCTCAGTTTATGTTTAACTCAGAACAATAAAGAATAAATTGTTTCATATCAGCCAAGTGGCTTGTAGTGTGCAAAAGTCTTGTGTCGTCCCTTGTTTCTTTACATTTAGCCTGTAAGGAGCCAGATCATCCAGATAAACCTTTGGCTGCTTTTTCACTCATTTCAGTGGAACACCTGACCACTTTCAGAGGAATCTTCAATTTTTGTTACGTATGGATCATTCAAGCATAAAGTGGCTCCTTAACTCAATGGATGACCTGAGTTGTGTCGACACACGACAGTTTGGTAAAGAATAGGATCTCTAGATACTTTTTCCAGCAGCTTGTCACAAAGATACTGTTCGTTTCCATTTTTTTGGCCAAATACATTAAAGATGACACAGCTTGACCCATAAAATAGTATTTTAGCGCCATTGAAGTGTGATTCCCAAAGAGCTATTAGCTGAAAATTGTCTTTCAGGAGACGATTGGCTGAAGGATCTCTCAGGTCTTTGCTGCTTCTTTTTAGGGATGCACGATATTGTCGGCATGGTATCGGCCAATATCAGCGATAAAGTTAAATATCGGACATGGGTCATTCCATCAAAAGAACTCAGATATAAAAGGTGCTGTACAGCACTTTGAGCTGCTTTTAGTATGAAGGGTGTTTTATAAATAAAACTTATTGATTGGTGTGTATATATATATATATATATATATATGGGGCCGTTTTTGTATGACAACCCAGTGACAAAGATTTCTGCAGCGCCAGCATGTTATGACGTCACGTGCGCCGTTGAGTTTAGATTTGTGAAAATTTACAAATTTTCACTGTTCGAGTGTTGTCATTTTGTTAGAGAGAGTAAATGTCATGAATAAATTTGACATTAAACATAATCCAAGTGGAAGTGTTACATCATTTTTAGCCCCTTTTTGGCGTCTGCATTTGGTAGCAGGCCAAACTGACAAAGACCGTGCAGAATAATGTAGTATTTTAATTCCATAGTAGAGAAATCTATGTAGTCTCTGTAAGTGGGTCTAGGAGAAAAAATATCGGTATTGGTATCGGCCAAATAAGTGTTAACATATCGGCATATCGAATATCGACCAAAAATCCAATATCGTGCATCCCTACTTCTTTTATTTTAAATCATCTTTATTTTTAGTTCTAATGTTTTCTCTTTTCAGCCTCTTCACATTTCTTTTTTTTTTTTACATACAGTATGCTGTCACAGTGAGGTAGAGCAGGACAGAAACAGTGAAAAAGCAGCCAAAGACCAAGAAAAACTTAAAAATACCCAAAGAGCTATTGATTAGAAGCACTTTACATGGATATGAGAAACTTTGGAAACAGAAGTGGTCGACTTGTTTCTTTCATAAATTCATTGAAAGGCTGACCACTCATATCATCATATCACAGTCCCTGTGACCCACATCTTTAATCTCTCCATAAGACAAAACTCCATCCCAGACACTTGGAAAACAGCCTTTGTTCTTCCTTTGCTGAAGGGAGGTGACCCCACCTCACTGAACAACTATCGACCAATCTCTAAACTCTGCATTTTAGCCAAGGTTCTAGAAAAACTGATAAACTCTCAAATCAAAAATTACCTGGACTCATTTAACATCTTACCTCCACATCAATCTGGTTTCAGGAAACAACACAGCACAACCACTGCTTCACTGAAGGTTCTTAATGATGTTGTTGAAGCACTGGATGCTAAAGATTATTGTGCTGCACTTTTCTTAGACCTGTCTAAAGCTTCTGACACTGTGGATCATAACATCTTGTGTCATAAACTCTCAGAAATTGGTTTCTCAGAACACACCATTGGTTGGTTCTCTAACTATCTTTCAGACCGGAGGCAATGTGTTCAACATAATGGTACTTCCTCCAGTTATTTAACAGTCAACAATGGTGTACCACAAGGCTCAGTCTTAGGACCCACCCTCTTTACAATCTACATAGGTAATGTAGGTCAGAGCATCCTTGACGCATCCTTACATTTCTATGCTGATGACACAGTTGTTTATTGTCGAGCTAAAACGGTGGCTAACTCTCTCCAGCTTCTGCAATCCGCCTTTGACATCATCCAGTCAGATTTGTTCCACCTCAAACTTGTCCTAAATGCCGACAAAACCAAAGGGATGCTTTTTTCAAACAGGAAGTTGGTCCCAGCAGTTCTTCCTCAGATTTTATCCTCAAATGGTGTCCCGATTGAGTTTGTTGATTCCTATAAATATTTGGGTATCTTGGTCGACTCGCATCTCTCTTTTAAGCTCCATGTGGAAACTGAAAGTTAAACTGGGTTTCTTTTTCAGAAACAGATCCTGTCTAACCCTGAATGCTAGAAAACACCTTGTATCTGTGACCTTCCTTCCCTCCATTGATTACGGTGACATTATTTACATGAACGCTCCTACAAGAACCCTGCAGATGTTGGATGCTGCAGATGTTGGATGCTGTCTATCATGGTGCACTAAGATTCATAACTGGCTGTGATTATCGTACCCACCACTGCACCCAGTATTCACTGGTTAACTGGACATCATTAACTTCACACAGACTCTCTCACTGGTACATTTTCATCTTTAAATCACTTCTTGGTCTGTTGCCTTCATACATCTCCTCCTACATGTCTCTGCGTGAGTGCAGCTACAGCGTGCGCTCTCAGGGCATTATTACCTGCAGTGTTCCCTCAGTGAGGACTGAACTAGGCAAAAGGGCCTTCTCCTACTCCGCTCCTGGAATATCTTACAAAAAGACCTGAAGCTACCTTGACCTCTCTAAGTGTCTTTAAGCATCTGTTGAACTCCTGGCAGGGACCAACGCAGACATGTTCCTGTTTTTAGTTTTCTACATTCGTCATATAATCTAGCTGTTTGTGTTACTTTTTTGCCATCTTATATTAATTTGTAAAAAAAATAAAAAAATCTGTACGCCTTTTTTATGTTTGTCTATTGTTGTTGTTGTTTACTGTTTTCATCATTTGTTGAAATCAGGTCTCTCATGTAAATGAGTCCTCGAGGCTCAATGGGATTAACCTGTTTAAATAAAGGTTGAATGAATTACAACTTTTAAAACGCAGAGCTGTAAAATCATTTTAGGGTTCGCTGAAAGCTAAAACTTAGCGTAATGCCACACTCGATCACATTTTACTCTTCCTGCAGAACCGCATGCATGAATCGCTCATGCTCTTCGACTCCATCTGCAACAACAAGTTCTTCATCGACACCTCCATCATCCTCTTCCTCAACAAGAAAGATCTGTTCGCTGAGAAGATCAAGAAGTCGCCGCTGACGATCTGTTTTCCAGAATACACAGGTGAGTCTGCGAGCCGTCGTCCACCGGAGCGAAGCGCGTCTCCGTCTCACTCTTCTGTCCTCCGTCTGTCTCCAGGTGCTAACACTTACGAAGACGCTACGGCTTATATTCAGGTTCAGTTTGAGAGCAAGAACCGCTCCCCCAACAAGGAGATCTACTGTCACCTGACCTGTGCCACAGACACAGGAAACATCCAGGTAGTGTTTGATGCCGTCACTGACATCATTATTGCAAACAACCTTAGAGGGTGTGGCTTATACTGAGTCCCGCCCAGAAGCACATGGGTTGTCGTGGAGCGTGAGGTGTTGATAATGATCATTTTGATGATGCTTAAACACATAAAATATGTAATTCTACACGTCCAAAACGGACCCAAAGAGCTGCCGTCAGACATCGGATCATTGCCACGATTTGTTTCCCCCCTCTTTGATTTCAGTATGACCTCCCCCCCCCCCCCCCCTTTTGTCTGTTAAAATGTTTTTGAGCTGAATGTTTCATCTTCTGTCGATGACTGTGCGAGCACCAGGAGTTCATTCAGCTGGAGCTTTGTCCTGCTTCACGCTAAGAACCCAGAAACGCAACACAAGGAGCATCCGACGCCGCTCCTCAACTCAAAACGTACGACGCGGTGACAAGCGCCCTGAATTCAGCCTCTGGTGCTCCGTTTGACGAGCTGCTGTGCGTGAAGGTGGAGATGATGATGAGGATGTCAGGGAGGTGCTGCGCTTGTGGCCGAGGGTCACAGATGGAAGGGAGGAGGCTGTGTTCACGTTCCTTCAAACCTACATGTGACCCGAGTAGCCTGCAGGTCCGTTCCACTCTGTTTTCTCTTTTTACGTCCAAACAATGAAAGAAAGGACTCTTGTGTTCGGGGCGCTCGCTTCCTGTAACACGAACAAAACCAAACGGCCAACGATATGTCAAAGGAAAAACGAACACGTCTGAGCCGACCATCTGAGGAGGACAGACCTGTGGAATCAGAAATTATCTCTCGTTCTATCAGCTATATTATTTAATGAAAGTATATAAAATTTTATAATTATTAAAGAATTTATTCTCATGCCCTACATCCCTCCTCCTAGAATCCCGTGCTCATATTTATTTCCTTTGATGGAAAAAACGGGGGCGCACAGGGAGCAGCTCTCCGGTGACGTCTCACGTGAGACTGTACAAAAGGACGAGTTCACGGAGAGAACCTCGTGTGAGGCAGTCGCTCTGGGGATTTTAAAAACTTGTCCCCTCCCGTCCTCCAAACGTCTGTACGGCTCCCCCGGTTTCTTCATCCTCCCACTCGTTTTATCATATCAGTCCTCCCGTCCCATCTCCATTTTCACCTTAAAAGCACCGTACTGTATATATATTATTATTATACCAGATTCTGTTTTTTTTTTACTGTCAATGTTTTTGTGCCGCACCCCATCCTGTTCAGTAGTTTATTGGTTGCTCTCATGTGGAATGTTTGTGCTGAGTCAATCGAATGTTGTGTTTACATTAAAGCCACTCTTTTTCCTAACTACTTCTGCTCCGGTGGTCTCGAGTCTTGATTACGCTGCGAGGTGACGAGGTGGACGGGGTTGACGGCGAGTTGTGCCGTGCAGGTGCTGTCCCCTGCACACGCTGACCTGCTTTAATCTGCGCAGCGCATTGAGGTTAGACCAGGAAATTAGGCTGAACATTATGAGAGTGAACCACTTTTAACGCTTCACCGCCTTGTGAACAAAGCTTTGCGTTTGGAGTCGGAGATATGTAAATAAATTAATACATAAAATTGGGAACAAGTCTTGCATGGCAACAGGGCAGCGGTGAAATGTGGCGGATGGCGGGGATCAGGAGCGCAGCAGCTCAATTTATTAGGTTAAAAGTGTCCCATCATCAGAGGCAAGGAGCTCTTCGTATATTGAATGATGGGACTGGATCAGCTGTCTGACCTGCTTCTGTCAGTTTAATGGGTATGATGTTCATTACTGCTCTGCTTCAGCGACCGCCCCACAGCTCCACTGTGCCCTCGTTTCTCCGTCACTTACAGGTTTCAAACGCTGGAGCTCCACTGAGACACATCCATGTTTAATTACACATTTTACAGGTGATTATTACCAAACGGTATGAGGTCGCTGCCGTGTAACCACAGAACCCCCGTGTCCTCAAAAGCTTAGCTGACCCAGACTGGAATCAGCTGGGCCAAGTTCAGAAACACAGAAGAAGATCGCCAAAATCCTCCATTGTTTCTTTGTGTCGTGCAAACGTCCGTTTACAGCCCAGCGCATCAGCAGGTGGGTAGTGCGTCCTCCGATGACCTCTGGCTCCTGAGCTACAGGCGAAGCCTCTTGATATCTTCGCTTCGGAAGTCGATTCGCAACGCCAGCACCTGACGCACCTCTGCGGGAGTCAGACGCCATGTCAGCGGGCCTGAGTTAGGACCCCAGTAATCCAAGATCTCAGTGACCTGCAGAGTGCAGACAGGAGCAGGTGAGTCTGAGCCAAACAGAAGATTCTTGAAAAACAAACTCGAGGCCGCAAACCGACACGAACAGCAGCACGATCAGACTGTCGCCGTCTCACGCCGCATTTGATGGAACACTAAAGTTTTAAACTTTGACAAGTCGTCAAAGCATAAATTGTTGCCTCGGGGTCAAATGCAATTACTTAAAAAAAAAAAACTAAGGATAATCTAACACCCCCCCACACACACACACAAAAAAAAGTGACTTTTCTATAGCTCTCTAAAGCGCTCTACTACTACCATATTTTTCACAGTATAAGTCACACCTTTTTGCATAAATTAGCATGCCCTGCAACTTATACAGTGAAGCAAATTACATTTTTTCCACATATTTATAATAAATTTTGGCCGAGATCTGAAGATATTCATTGTGACGTGGAAAATACTGAACACTACCATTTTCAGCCACTAGAGGGTGGTCAAGTTATGTGGCAAGCCAAGTGTCTCTTAATAGGGAAAAGTGACTATTAATGAGACACTTGGCTTGCCATACAAGCCACCTTCATCTTGCTCCAGAACTCCCGGAGCAAACGTCAAATCAGCTGCATTTTGCTGCGCCGCCCAGGCGAAATGCAGCTGATTTGACCGTCAAAGTGCATTTATTAAGAAAAAGTTCAACTGAGACACGAATTTCCTATAATTTTGAGCAAACAAATAATAGTTTTTAAGTGTTAATCTTGTTAAATTCTTGTTAAAGTCCTCTGTGCACGTTCCCGCGGGCGCCATTTGGCAGCCAATCGATTTTTGGCACAACACCGGCCCACGTTTCCGGGTGGTCAGCGGTGATGCGTAATAGATGTGACTTATACGGCGAAGCGGCGTGTACGGTGGCAAAAACGGTACTACTTTATTTATAAAGCCCTCGAAAACAACCACAGCTGCAACAATGTGCTGTACATGTAAAATCATGTTTTATATGTAAAACTCCTCTGAGGAGTCTCACTTCCAGCCGCACACACTTGGTAAAAATCCAATCATGCAAACCCCTAAAATGTTAAGCTGTAAAAAAAATCTGATTTATTTTACATGTGGGTATAAATGTAAATTACCCGCTCCAGGTTGAGGATGGTGGCCATTTGTGTGAGGCGAGCAAACTTGTCTCTAATGGTCCACGTGGTCACGGTGGTGAGATACGCCACGAGAGAGCGAAGCTCTTTATCAAACTGCAGCCCTCCAAGCTACAGCAGAAAGATCAGAGGAAGGAGAAAAACACCTGTGAATGCATTAGTGTGTGGGAGAAACCAACAAAAGGAAAGCACTCCTCTCTGTAGCTGGAGGCTGCTCCTCTGTTCGGCGCCACCTGGTGGCTGAGCTCCTCACCCTGCTGAACGAGCATTTCAGGACCGTCTTCTCCAGCTCCACTGAGGTCAAGCTGGTCATCAGGCTGGTCAGCGTGTCATAAATGACAGGGGAGAGGGCGGCCTGGAGAAGGATATGCTTAATGATTACAAAATTACAAGATTAAAAACCAGCCTTCAGTGAACTGGCAAGGTTCATTTACCTTGAACTCGGCCATGAGCTGCTCCAAGTTAACGATGAGCTGCTGCACCCAGGGGTCATTAGCCTCGTATTCATTAAACTCCTCCTGTAAGGACCAGCAACAGTTACAGCAGGCGGTTCCAGGAGCTCGGGTTCTGTGCAGGAGTGTGACATCATTACCTCTTCTATGTTGTGCGAGATGGACAAGAAGCTGCTGATCCAGGGTTTGACCTGAGGCTTCACGGCTGTCGTGTTCAACTCCGTCAGACCCTCCTGAGAAATAAAACCAGACCTTTTACGAGTCGTTAAAGAAAACAAACAAAACGTGTTTTTACAGAGAACGCTCAAGAAAAACACCAGCTTGAAGAGGTTTATAAGAAAAATTCAGACTCAAGCATCCTTCAGAAGTTTCTTCTAGCCTCTTATTGTCACGATAAATAAAATCTCTGCACATATATTAAAAACAATGGTTTTACTTCATCACATGTATCATGAAATCAGATATTAATCTGCAAATAAAACCAAAATTCGGTTTTTAAAAACAAAATGTTTCAACATACAATACGTTTGGTATCTGTTCTAACAGAAACAATATTTCAGCAAATAATCTAAACTGCAATAACTTAAATGTGAGTGAAATAAGAACAATAATATATTAGTCCCTCGCTACTTCACAGTTCGTTTATCGCAGACTTGCTCTATTGTGGTTTTTCAAAATAAGATTGGACATGACACACGGACGGATGGATGAGCTGCAGATCGGCACGAGATGTTTATTTAAAATAAATTATGTAAAATTATTTAGCACCTGCTGCACATTTGTGCAGCCCATACTGCAGGATAAACTTCCTGCTGCAGCTGATCAGCTGTTCTCCGTGCAGAGCATAGAAGTGGGCGTGGCCAAGAGTGCATGCAGTTGACAAAGAGCAGAGGAGGCAGGGAGCTGAAATCATGACGTTCTGTGCTCTTTTAGAGCGTTTAAAGTTTAGAAACATTATTTAGAATATTGCAAGAATGTGGGAAGGGTTTAAAATGCCTTTATAATAAATAATAAAATAAACTACTACTTACTACTTGTACAACTATTCCTACTTGGCGGTTTTTCCACTTATGGGGCTTCAAGGTACGGATCCCCCACAATAAACAAGGGACTACTATATTTGATTAGAGGTGGGTTTTTTTTTTAGCATCTTGAGGTTTTGTTTTTAATAAAATAAACAGAAAAATCAATCATACAGATTGAGACATATAAAGCCTGTTAAGTTGTCTAAAGCCAAAATGATTTAAACTAATAACCAAACTAGTATTTAAGGTAGTCATTTATTTCAAAAATGGCCCAATTAAACTTTACTCAGTTTCAAGAACTTTATTCACTTTTCAAAGCTTAAAAATATCACTTAAATACGATTGTGGGGACTTTCAGCATCTTGTTTGTAAAAAGTTTCCTCAAAGTCGACAACAAAGAGCTCAACAGTTCCCTACAAAAAATATAGATCACATTTCTCTCAGTGTGTACGAACATGTGGAGATGTTCCTTGTGATGCTGGGTCATTTTGAGCGACAAGGACAATTCTTCATAACCTCATTCATTTTATTGTGAAGAAGTGTTCCAATATATTTATTGTTTTAGTATTAAAGTCAGGGTTAAATAAATGGTTAGATTTCAAGTAACGAATATAATTTAATAAAAAGTCATTGAAAGAAACCTGTAGGAGATCCTTGAACTTTGCAGACGTGCTGACGAGATCGGACAAGCAGCTTTCAATCTTGGCCTGTTCACCAGAACCGACCCCCTGGCTGAACAACTTGGAGCAGTCGTTCTGACAAAAACACAGATTCAGTTCACAAACGATGGAAGAAACAAACAAATAAGAAAAAAAACATGACCGAGCCCAGGAAATGATGCGTCACGTACCTCCAGGTTCCTCTTTAAAGTTGTGATGTTTTCACTGCACACCTCCACGTTATTCAGAGTCACCTGCAAATAAAAACTGTTCAGTTCAGCGACTGCGAAATATAAGAAATAAACATCTCAGTTACATCAAATGTTCAATGGAACAAGAAAAGTTTCTTGAAGGCAGACATGATATTTGATGAGAAATATCAACAACAAGGGTTTGTAGTGTGGATAAATATGGAATAGTGGAGTGTAAATGTGACTTTGAAACAGAGTATTTTTCTGCAAAGATTTAAAATATTAAAAAAAGGTACAACTTTCCTACCATACATTTATAAATGTAATAATTTATGCATTTGATTTTATTGCTGACCTTTTCTTAAAAAACAAATCAAAAAGTGGGGATATAAATTCTGTCATCGTTTTGGAGACACTTTCTTGCTTACAGGGTGAGTGCCGAAGGGTTATTATGTGTATGAGTGTTTTTGTCTCACCAGAAATGCAGCCTTGGCGTTTTCCATGCTCTCGATGCCCAGAGTGTTAAACTTGCCCTGCTGCAAGCTGCTCTGCATCAGGCTGACCGCGCTGCTGACGCCACGCTGGATGTCTTGAAGCGTCGTAGCCGGGAAGCCCTGCCGCAGCTTGTTGTACAGCACCTCCCTGACAGGCGCACAGACACGCACGAGGAGGAAGCACAAGCATCAGATGAGAGGCAATAATCTTACAAACGCATCGAACATGGAAGGAGGCGGCGAGCACCTGAAGTCTGACTCCAGCACAGAGTTGGCGTGGTTGATCATGGCACAGAGGCAGTCGATGTTGGAGCTCGACAAAGCTCGACTGATGCACTTTTTCACAATGTAGAAGCAATCATCAACCATGCTGCTGGTCAGCTGACCCTTTTCATATGTATCCATGGCAACGGCCTGAAAAGGAGCAGAAATGACAAGTCAGCAAAGTAATATCTAGTTATATATACAGTGGTGCTTGAAAGTTAGTGAACCCTTTATAATTTTCTATATTTCTGCATAAATATGAACTAAAACATCAGATTTTCACAGAGTCCTAAAAGTAGATAAAAAGAACTCAGTTAAACAAATAAAACAAAAATATTATACTTGGTGATTTATTTATTGAGGAAAATGATCCAATATTACATATTTGTGATGGTAAAAGTATGTGAACCTCTAGGACTGGTAGTTAATTTGAAGGTGAAATTAGAGTCAGGTGTTTTCAATTAATGGATGATGATCAGGTGTGAGTGGACACCTTGTTTGATTTAAAGAACAGGGATCTATCAAAGTCTGCTCTTCACAACATGTTGGTGGAAGTGGATCATGGAGATTTCTGAGGACCTCAGATAAAGAGTTGTTGATGCTCATCAGGCTGGAGAAGGTTACAAAACCATTTCTAAAGCGTTTGGACTCCACCACAGTCAGATTGTGTACAAATGGAAGAAGTTCAAGACCATCGTTGCCCTCCCCAGGATTGGTGGACCAACAAAGATCACTCCAAGAGCAAGACGTGGAATAGTCAGCGAGGTCTCAAAGGACCCCAGGGTAACTTCTAAGCAGCTGAAGGTCTCTCTCACATTAATGTTGATGTTCATGAGTCCACCATCAGAACACTGAACAACAATGGTGTGCATGGCAGGGTTGAAGGAGAAAGACACTGCTCTCCAAATAGAACATTGCTGCTTGTCTGCAGTTTGATAAAGACCATGTGGACAAGCCAGAAGGTTGTTGGAAGAATGACAGATGAGACCAAACTAGAACTTCTTGGTTTAAATGAAAAGTGTTATGTTTGGAGAAAAGAAAACAGCATTCCTTTCATAAGAACCTTATCCCATCTGTGAAACATGGTGGTGGTAGTATCATGGTTCACACTTGTTTTGCTGCATCTGGGCCAGGACGGCTTGCCATCATTGATGGAACAATGAATTCTGAATTATATCAGAGAATTCTGAAGGAAAATGTCAGAACATCTGTCCATGAACTGAATCTCAAGAGAAGGTGGGTCATGCAGCAAGACAATGACTCTAAACACACAAATGGTTCTACCAAAGAATGGTTCAAGAAGAATAAAGTTCATGTTTTGGAATGGCCAAGTCAAAGCCCTGAGGGGGGTCACACCACATACTGAGAACAAAGGTTCACATACTTTTACCCTCACAAATATGTAATATTGGATCATTTTCCTCAATAAGTAAATGACCAGGTATGTTTGTCTCACTTGTTTAACTGGGTTCTCTTTATCTACTTTTAGGACTTGTGTCCAAATCTGATGTTTTAGGTCAAATTTGTGCAGAAATATAGAAAATTATAAAGAGTTCACAAACTTTCAAGCACCCCTGGATTGATTTCAACACAGGCATGAAGACAGTTGTCACACACCGCCTTTACTCAGGAATTTTGTTTATTTTGATAAGGAAAGTTTTAGAAGAAACTCTTTCTTCTTCTCTGCCGTTCAGCTCCAAAGGTTTGTCTCGTACACTGAAGCTGCTGAGCTCAAGCAGAGACACAAAACATAGTAAAAAATAATCGTCTTTATTCTCCTTGATTCTCATTAACTGACTCCAAATGAAGGCATAAATTGTGTGTAATTCAACATTTTCGTCCTTAAAAAAATACATTTCAGGGTAAATAGTAATTAAAAATAGACGATTTGGACAAAATTTAAACTCAAAGTGACAAAACTGAACAGAAGCAGGTGTTGAAATTAATTTTCTCTGCCACAGATACTTAAAAATTAAAAGCTGAAAGAAATATATGTTATAAAAAAAACTACAAATAATCCTTTCGGACTCAGGTTTTGTGTAGTAGTGAATTGTGTTGTTTGTACACATGAGGCCTGAGCACAGCTGTCCCAACAGCAGCCACGGCTTTAGAAAAGGTTTCTGTAAATACGCAAGGGGACGTGTCCCACAGTGAGACCTCAAAACGGGTGCAGCCAAACAGAACTAATTAGATTAATTGGCAACAGGTCAGTAACTTGGGATATAAAAAAACATCCCGGAGAGGCCGAGCCTTTTTAGTAAATATGAGGGGGAGGGGGTGTCCCACAAACAACCCAACAATGTGAGAAATGTGTTTCTCAACAACAAAGTTACAGACGATTTGGGACTTTTATCATCCACAGTATTTCATGAAAACATTTAGAAGACATTAAAAACTTTGTGTACAGAAGAAATAAAGGTAAAACCAAATAAAGTCTAATCTTCAAGTTCTCAAGAGAACGGCATTAAAACAGTTCCAGCACTTTGAGGGTTCAGGAACTGAAATCAATTATCAATAAACGCAGATTTCCTCTTTACAACCAAACTCATGTTCATGTTTTACTAGAAACAAAATAACACGAGCGTCCAGAAACACTGCTGCCTTTTCTGAGCTCAAAGTATTTTAAGATGGACTGAGGTGATTTTAAAACCTGTCCTGTGAGACACTGAATCTAGAAACTAAAAGTCTTCAAAATCAAGACGGATACGTTGTCAAGACGAAACCTTCTGGTTAGGATCATAAAATTAAAGCTGCATTTCTAACATCTTTCTACCAGTAGACCCACCGTCCCTCCTCTGGAAATGTCCAAACCACCGTCCCTCCTCTGGACGTGTCCAAACCACCGTCCCTCCTCTGGACATGTCCAAACCACCGTCCCTCCTCTGGACATGTCCAAACCACCGTCCCTCCTCTGGACATGTCCAAACCACCGTCCCTCCTCTGGACACGTCCAAGCCACCGTCCCTCGACTGGACATGTCCAAACCATCGTCCCTCCTCTGGACACGTCCAAACCACCGTCCCTCCTCTGGACACGTCCAAACCATCGTCCCTCCTATGGACACGTCCAAACCACCGTCCCTCCTCTGGACACGTCCAAACCACCGTCCCTCCTCTGGACACGTCCAAACCACCGTCCCTCCTCTGGACACGTCCAAACCACCGTCCCTCCTCTGGACACGTCCAAACCACCGTCCCTCCTCTGGACACGTCCAAACCACCGTCCCTCCTCTGGACACGTCCAAACCACCGTCCCTCCTATGGACACGTCCAAACCACCGTCCCTCCTCTGGACATGTCCAAACCACCGTCCCTCCTCTGGACACGTCCAAACCACCGTCCCTCCTCTGGACACGTCCAAACCACCGTCCCTCTTCTGGACACGTCTAAGCCACCGTCCCTCCTCTGGAAATGTCCAAACCACCGTCCCTCTTCTGGACACATCCAAGCCACCGTCCCTCCTCTGGACACGTCCAAACCACCGTCCCTCCTCTGGACACATCCAAACCACAGTCCCTCCTATGGACACATCCAAACCACCGTCCCTCTTCTGGACATGTCCAAATCATCTCAGTCTGGTCTCTAACTTTATCTCCCAGTTGTTCAACCTGTGCTGTACCTCTGATGAGCTCATTCCTGATCTTCTCCATCCTTGTCTCTCCTAAGGAGAACCTCAACATCTTCATTTCTGCCACTTCCAGTTCTGTCTCCTGTCTTTTTGTCCATGTCTCTGTCTCCAGACCATGCATCATCACTGGTCTCACCACTGTCTTGTAAGCTTTTCCTTTGACCTTTGCTGACAACCTTTTGTCACAAATCACTCCTGAAACTTTTCTCCATCCACTCCATCCTGCCTGGACTCTCTTCTTCACCTCTTTACCACACTCCTCATTTTCCTGGACAGTGGACCCCAAGTCCTTGAAGTCCTGCTCCTTTGTGACCTCTGCTCCTTGTAGCCTCACTCTTCCACCTCCTCCCTCTCATTCACACACATGGACTCTGTCTTACTACGACTGACTTTCATTCCTCTTCTTTCAAGTGCATACCTCCACCTCTCCAAGTTCTCTTCCACCCGTTCCCTGTTCTCGTTATCACAGATCACAATGTCATCTGCAAACATCATTGTCCAAGGGGATTCCTGCCTGACCTCATCTGTTAGTCGGTCCATCACCAGAGCAAACAAGAAGGGGCTCAGAGCCAATCCTTGATGCACTCCCACCTCCACCTTGAAGCTATCTGTCATTGTTTGTATTTAACACGATTTAAATTCAATTAAACTGAGTTTAAACGATCTGAAACTGTTTTGAAGTCTTTTAAAATTAGTTTGCTTTGAAACACACACACTTAGATTTAATGTCTTATAAGACTGACCTTGTTAACGGACTCTCTCATATAATATTCCTCCATTGGGATGTAGTATCCAATCAGCTCCTGCATCATCCTGCTCAGTAAACAGTGTTTGAGAAGCTTCTCCACATTCTGCTGATGCTCTGAGTGTTCAAAAACATGTAAAACAAATATATAAATGATTGTATATTCGCTCAGTTCATCTAAAAAAAGACCCTAGCCATCTTTGAATGTAAAATGTATAAACCCACCCTGCGTGATGCTCCGATCATCTCCAACTTCAAAGTCTGCCATAATGCGACGACGCAGGAAGCGCAGGTAGAGCTCTGCCCTGGCGTTCATCAGAGTAACTTCGGACAGCACGGGGTCCAGTTCCCTGTTAGATACGAAGTATAAAGATAAACAAGTCCCCTGTTGTTGTCAGACATTAGGTGTAAACAAAGCACAGAAACATGAAGGATGACAGACAGGTCTAGACCTCGGCTCAATCCTTTCCCCTGGAACGCTCCTCATCATGCTGCTCTGAACAATCTGAAACTGAAACAGACACAGGAATCAGCAGCTATGGACTGACAGAGGCCTGAAAAGCTGCAAACAAAACTAAAGTGTCCTGTAGTTTGACTAATATTCACTGTTAGGGTTTATTTCTTTGAAGTCAACGTCATGAAACTTTGTTTGGAGTCATAAAATCTACAACATTCAGAAACATGTTTATCTGCGAGGACTTTGCTCATGCTTGTCTGATGCGAGATGGTTTGTGAAAAAGTATAAATTCAAATGTCGCACAGGTTACGAAACTCCAACCATGTAAAAAGCGTTTCTTGATTGTCTGATGTTCAAACAATGATAATAATAAATCTCCCACAGCTGTCAGGACTTTGATTCTTTGTTTATTGTAGAGTAAAAATCCTTTGACGGACTGGAGAACCATGTGGTGCACAGAACATACCTTGTTGTGGTATCCTCTCTGCTGGATAAACTTATCGACTATTTTCTGAGCCTGAGTGTCACACTCCTGCTGCAGGTGACTGATGAGCGTGTACAGGTGGCCTGGACCGTAGTACGTCTCTACGATGGGTTGATGAGTCTCAACAACACGAGCTATCCCTGTAAACACAAACCAACATGCTGCTGGAGTCTGGCGATGTGTGAAGGAAAAAGCAGGAGTGGTTTGCTTCTCACCTTCCAGCAGCAGAGTCAGCGTGTCTGCAAATATCAGCAGAGCTCTTTTCTCACCCAGATCGCCTCCTGTTGCCAGCAGCAGGTTCTCCTCAGCTTTGGAGGCAAGCTGTGTGAAAAAAAAATTAAATTGAGGGGAAAAAGTTCCTGATGTGATTAAAGCAAAATTATAATTACGGAATCGGACTATCTTCACTTTTATACAAGAAGCAACGAATGCACGATATTGGATTTTTGGCCAATATCCGATACGCTGATATGTTAAAACTTATTTGTCCGATAACCGATACCAATACCGATATTTTTCCCCCTAGAGATTACAAAGCTTCCTCTACTGTGGAATTAAAATACTATTATTCTGCATGGTCTTTGGCCTGCTACCAAATGTAGATGCCAAAAAGGGGGATGAAAATGATGCAACACTTCAACTTGGATTATGTTTAATGTCAAATTCATTTATGACATTTACTCTCTCTAACACAACGACAACACTCGAATAATACAAAATTGCAAATGTTAAAAATCTAAACTCAACCTGTTCACAAGCGACAAGTGAAAAGCGCACAAGTAGTAGTGCATTAATAGAATTAAGAGATATAATTGACAGTTTCTTAAATTAAAAATAACTTAAAACAGATGGCTTTTATATCGGTGAGTTTTTTGATGGAATGGCCGATGTTCGATATTCAACTTTATCGCTAATATTGGCCGATAACGATACCATGCCGATATATCGTTCATTTAGAAGCAACAAAAACAGAATGTTTTCTAAAATAAAATAGGGAACAGTAGGAACTATCTTAAGAGTGGTTGTTATCAAACTCCTAAACTTTCAACCCCAAAAAACACCAAAAAGACTTGTGACCTCGCCCGGTGCTGGTTAATTAACATTATTAAATAAAAATAAATAAACATTACAAAACAGTGGTTATAAAGAGTTTCATCAGCCATTGTATACATTTTTTGGCAATTCATCACTGCTACTTTATATTTGTAAAATTTAAGACTAACTATGTCACTGGTAAAAAACAACAATTTCTGTGGACCTTTCCAGGGCCGCACACTGAATGTTTTATGACTCACAGTAGGCCCTCACCCCAACTTTGAGAACCAACGCTTCAGAGTATAACAACAAAGGTTCACTAATGTTTTTATATAAAGTGAAAAGAAATATCAAAGCTTCATCCTAATATCTTTAGCTAAACACATAAAAATAATCAAAGCTCAAGGATGTTTTGAAGAAACTGCCTTAATATTCCCTAAAGCTGATCAAATTTAGATTTGGAAAAATAACCAAGTAAAACTAGACTTTAATTAATTAATAACATTTTGGAGATCGAGCTCAAACACAGTCATTGTTCTGAATGGAAAAACATCCACAAATGAAACCCTCCATTGTGTCCAGCACGTTAAAATCTCCCCTGGAACAAACCTGGCTGCAGAGATATTGACCAAAGCGGGAGAGACCCTGCTGGTGGAGGCCCAACAGCGGGAAGATCTTGAAAAACCGCTCCACTTGTGCGAGGTCGACCGCTGCCACGGCCTCATCGAGCTTCTGTGCAACTATAACCTTCAGTTTCTGCTCTGCCTCCTGCAGCAAGACCAGACTGGCGTCCACGGCACTGCCTGTGCAGACACAGTGGATTGGGAGAGCTGTTTGCGTCTAGTAACGACAATAAAATTATTAACAGATGAAGAGAATAAGAGATCGTCTCATATTAATGCAATGTTTTATCAAAAACGCTGAGGTGAGTTCTAGTATTCACATAGCTGCCACTTTGACAAAAGCCTTATGCCCATCTAAATACTGGTACAGTACAGGTAGGAGCTTCATGCAGTAAGAACAAGTGTCCTTCTGAAGTGCAAAAAACCCAAGTAACAACAAGATCTGCTGCTGACAGAGGATCAGAGCTGTACCTGCACAGGAAAAACCTACATATCAAATGCAGTAAAACAGTGTAAGTAACCTTACATTAAATTAATAATGGGCGGTTACAAAAACTACCAAGGTAATTTTGTTTGCTTCTGTGCAAAAACACAAATCATCAAACAAGACTGCAGCATTTTCCCCTGCAGTGAAAGGCTGCACTATGACCGAAGGTCTCTTACTTTCTTCTCCCTGCCGGCTCAGCTCAATAACTGACTGGTCCAGAGACAAGTATCGATGGATGTGCGCAGCAGCCTGTTCATAATCTTCATTATGCAGCGCCGTCTGCACGCCGTCAGTGCAGAACTTCAGGTCGAGGATATCGTCAGCGCGTTGGATGACATTATAGAGGCGTGTCTGCAAGAAATGCACACAAAATAAATTCAAACCTACGGCACACAGGTTCGGCAATAAAACTAAACAATATTTTGTGGGAAAATAATGCATTTTTCTGAGTTTTGTACTGACAAATATGTTGTCGACATGAAACTTTACATTGTGACTGAGTATTTACCTTTGCCAAGTCTAGCTGTCTGACTTTGCGGCTGACGTTCTCAGCCAGGCTGCAGGTAAAATTGATCATGCCTGAAAGTTGACAGGCATCTCCACCAATCAGCTGTAAATTAGGTCTGCAGAGCAAAAGGAAAATAATCACATTTTAAATGTATAAATATATAAACCAGCTGTTTTTTAAATCCGTGCTTCTTTTGCTAATCTGTACCCCATCCTCTGCAGTGCCAGCATCTTGGTGTGAACGCTCCCCTCCTGCCCCACCAGTCTGTCCAGCTCAGCTTCTACTTCTTTCTGCAATAAGCATTGAATGATCCATACTGTGAGCAACAAAAATAAATGCAACTTTATTGTTATTTAGCAGAGTACAGACATAAGAGAATGCTGACATTCCACATTTTAGTATAAAGTTTCAGTCTTTCCCCATGTGCATACAAAAATAAAGTCAAACCATAAAGCATTTTTTGTGTGCATGTAGACTAAATGTCTGATAAAAGAGCGGACAGGGTTGAATCAGTTTAAGGACCTTATATCAGGTGACATAAGAAAATGAAAAGTTGGACATTGATCTATAAACTATGAGGCATTTGTGTATGTGCTGTTTAGCAAATACTATCTGATTTATCTAGAGAGCACATAAAGGTGCTAAACTACGTTTTATTCCTTACAACTAGTTTTATTCCTTGCAACTAGTTTTATTC